AAACGAGAATGAAATTATTCAGTGGGCGAGCACGTTTTTGACACCGCCATCTTTGGTGATTTTTCTTTTTTTTTTGGCTATGACAAATGCCATGAAAATTTATATATGTGTATCTTACATAATAGAGAATCTACAAATAAAGTTTGAAAAATAATAATCTTTTCCATGCCCCGAAATAAAGGAAAAATAAAAAGTGAAAAGAGAGAAAAAACAAATTAGTAACCCAGCAGGATGGGGGGTGTGAGGCTTTGAAGAGCTCGGCAGGGAGTAAGACAGTGTTGGAGAACCTTGGAAGGTTTTGTCAGGGATTTCGTGGGTCTTGGGGCTTTTGTAGGACTTTTGCAGTCTATTCCCATATCTTTTTCTCAGTAACAGGCAAGAAAGGGATGAGGTGAGAAAGAGAAGACATCACGCGTCCTACTAGTGAAGGGGCTAGCTGGTAGGACAGAAATAGGGCATAGCAGCAGTAGAGATGGTGGCTTTGCTGCAGTAAGTCTTGCCCGAGTGTGGTAAAGAGGAGGGATGGCAGATTCCTGAGTGATTTTCTGAAATTTTGTCTAACTCTGAAGTTCTTTGCATAAAAGGTCTGAAGTAGCTCCACATCCTTAGTAAGTTTCCAGTCTCATTTTTCATGGAATTTTCTGATGACGTTTCTGAACGTGCTCGTTATGGGACGCTGGGCCCGGTTCCCAGTTTGTGGCCCTTTGTGAGGATATGGTTGTATCTGTGGGACGCTGGACCCGGTTTCCAGCAGGTGTTGCTCCCCACCAATAGATGGAGCTTGCGTTTTCAAAAAAAAAACAAAACAAAAAAAAAAGAGTGGGCAAGCAAGTTTTGACACCACCATCTTTGCTGATTTTTTTTTTTTTTTTGGCTCAACAGAATGGCTTCAAAATTTACAGGGAGATACCTTACATCACAAAGAACTGACAAAAAAAAAATCAGAAACAAATATTAATATTTAGGTGCCAAAATAATATTTTGCGGGCTCCAAACCCCTTCAGGTTTACGGGGACCCAAACGCCCGAACGTTCGGGGGTCAGCTTAGGGGCCTCCGTAAGTTCGGCCTGGCAACCCTGTATATGTATGTATATATAGTTTAAATTTGGTAAAGAATTTGGATGTGACCCTGCGGCAAAAGCTTTTCTGCATAACATAGTTTTTTCCAGATTTTTATCATTTTTTTTTTTTTTTTTTTTTTTGGCTGGGACTTTCCCCGGTCCTTGCACGGTCGAGCCTCTTGGGAAAACAAGGCGACCCGGGCGGCCTGGCTGGTAGCCGATCAAATAAATAAATAAACAAACAAAAGACTAAATTAATGTACACACAGTTCTTAGCTTTGGCCCGACAATCACACTGTAAACTACTGGCAATAGGAGAGTCAGAGAGAAGCACAAGCCTAGGGGTTTCTGTATATCGGCCAGCTTTAGCTGAGATGGCAGATGGCAGCTACATACCAAGCATATATCATACTTGAGGCAGTGGCATAGTAGCAGAATTTTCGCTAAAAGAACTTATTTACCGCAGAGAGGGACTTCAGATACCGTCTGTGACATATTCCCGTAAGGATTGGGGTAGTAGGTGGAACAAGTAGAGATATTGCTTGCACCTGGTGTCCGAAGTACCCGTGTGACAAGGCTTGCTCTATCATGCGTCCAGTGGGGCTGGGTAGGGGAACCGCTTAGCTCAGCTGCCTATATCTGCTGTTCGGTCCAAGTCATCCCCTTGGGTTGATAGTCCTGAGTGATTGAGACTGAGGTAGGATAGTGGGAATAGGGGTGCGCTGGGAGAAATGATGAGAGGATCAGGTAGGGCGGTAGTTCCACAGACAGTTCCCAGGACAACCAGCAGCTGATTGGGTCGGAATAGTACCAGGAGGCTACCCCCTGTGAAGCTTACCAGTTTCGGCATGGCTGGAATGTGAAAAAGTGGAGCCTCGAAGTCTTCGGGTCAGGCTAATGACAGGCGTCATGAAACACCACTACCACGATTACCCCCCCCCAGTAGCCGTCCGGTCCAGCATGGCCGAAATAGTACCAGGAAGGGTGGCCCCCTCGGAAGCTTTCCGGTTCCAGCGCTCCTATGACAGCAACCACCTACAACAACCTGAACTTGAAAGAAAGAGAAAAAAAAAAAAAGAGGGACACTGGACAGCCTGGACCCATTTTCCAGCCAAGCCGAAGCTGGGTAATGGCCCCAGTCACAACAGGTAGATTTGTGAGGTCCTCGGACTCAGATTCTTTCGTTGGAAATATTCAAATATGAATTATGTTAAAATTAATAATAATAATAATATACAATAATAAACACATTAAAAACTAGGCTACCAGCCGGGCCGCGCGGGTCACCCTATTTTCCTGGGCGACCCGGCCGTGCAAGGACCAGGGGAGGTCCTAGCATTTACCGAATTTAAAATAAAATAAAATAAAAAAATATTTATTTATTTATTTTATTTTTTGGGCCTGGCTGGGCAAGTGGACCCCGGCCACTCTGGTAGCCTAAATAAAGGAGTGCTCATTTTTCCTCATGTTAATCTTCTCTGTATTGTTCCATTTTTTTTTATTTTTATTTTTTGGGACAAAATGCTCCAATCTATTAACGGATGAATGATAAAATTCCTTAATGTCAGAAGTGGGGGAAAAGGAAAAAGGGACGTAAAAGGGGGTGCAATCCAGCCAGCTTGTTTTTTCACATTTCACTGCAGGACCTTGAGGGAAAAAAGGATAATCTCCTTCGATCCCGATTACCTATTTCTTGATTACTTACTTCTTGAGGAGAATTTTCTTTATTTTGTTTTTTCATAAGTTTCCTTTTCCTAATTGGGGATTCTGAACATTGAATTTTGCAGACGCTTTAGTAGGGATAGGACTTCGGAGGTTACGGCTGGAATTTTGGTAGGCAGGGTTTTTTTTTTTAGACCCCAGGGTACAGACATACGGTAGTTACCCACAGCAGGTCTGAGATCCGCCTGGCCTAAGTTAGGGGACAAGCCAGGGGAAGGACGGTAGGACTGTCAGCCTGGGCTCCGCCTGGCCTTGGGTAAGCTAGGGGAAGGAGAGATAGGGCTGGCCAGTTGTGGGTATAGACTACTAGTTAGCTGTCCCTGAAAAATTAACCCTGGGGTCTGTCACAAGGGAGCCTTATTCTACAGGGGTGCTGCATGGTGGGAGGCAGTAGCCCTATTGGGAGTAGGGCAGATTGGGGATTGTCTGAGTCTGGGGCCGGGGTTGGAGAGTTGGTCGCCTTCATCCCCAGCGGGGGCAGACAGGGACAAGGGGTGGGCAAAGGCAGCCTCTAGTAGGGGATTGGTTGCCTTCGCGGATGTGGTGGAGGGAGGGGAGGGGATCTGTTTTATGTTGGGGCCGAGGGATTTTCCTCGGTGGAGGCAGCATGAGACAGGGTACAGTGGGTATGGATTGGTTTGAGCTGTGACCAATGGAAGCGTATCCTTTTCACGATCTAAAAAACTCGACGCGTCAAAAAAAGATCTGATAATTTCAATACAGTTCAATACTCCAAAACCGGCCACCTGCTGCTCTACAAGCTTGGCAGCACCTGGTCTTCTTCTCTATTTGGGATATAGGAATTCAGGGATCGTCGAACCTAGACTGATAACTGCTGAAGTTGTTTTGTTCTGTGCTCCTGGATTGCCAATGCCAGAACAACGCTGGCCAGAGCTGGGGCATAGCCCTGTAACCTGTAATTGGCAGGGGCGGGAGGCCTTGTAGAGAGAGCTGGGGTTTGCTGAGGGAGGAAAGCAAGCCAATGGTGAACCAGGAGGGGCTACCTTGACAACCTATGGGGTGGGGTTAGTCTGGGTAGTGAGGAGAGATCAGCTATGGCAGTGGGGGGATAGGTTTGTCTTGTTCTARRGTTGCAATATCCTGGTAAGGGAGGGCTTGGWGTTGTTCAGGATTAGGAGTCCAGTRTGGCTGACTCAGCATGTGTAGCTACATTTTTTGTCATCACTGGCATCATTAGTACCATCAGCATTAGAATTTTCTATTCTCAGGTTTTTCTCAGCCGAAGCCGGATAATGGCCCCGGTGTTACAAACTGATGTATGTTCATATGGGACGCTGGGCCCGGTTCCCAGCACGTGCTGCTCCCCACGAATAGACTGGAGCTTCTTTCTGTCAAAAAAAAAAAAAAAAAAAAAAAAAAAGTTACAAATTGAAAAGGAAAAGGATCTATCGGCACATACCTCTTCGAGGATGCCTTCTTCTCCGGCACCAGGAGAACGCACCCTCAAAGCCAAACAACGTCATCAAAGTCAACGCCGTGACCATCCCCTCTCTGGCGTATTGCTGCCAAGGTACCTGAATAAACTGCGACACCTGCATGCCAAAGCCATTTATATCATCATGCAAACCCTGGTATCGAAATCACGAGCCCCCACAATAACCCCAAGCAACAAGAGCAATAACAACAAATCAGGATGTACTCACGAATGGTTAAAAGAAAAAAGGGTATACACAAGAGCTCTACCTTTCACAGAGGGCAGAACAGATCATCAAAAGGCTGGGAAAAGCAGCTCTTGTCTTAGTTCCTTTTTTTTTCTTTTTCTTTTTTAACAGAAAAAGGAAATGTATTCATATAACCGGGAAATGGCCCACATCACAGTTCTGTTACTACTGTCTCTTTCTTCATAGGGTTCAAACTTCAAACCATTCTTGCAACCGCACTGTGCGCTGTACCGTCCGGTGCGGCGCGGCGGCACATGCTCGTGCGCCGTACCAGCAGCAGTTTCCATTTTTTTTGTTTTTTTTTCGCTGTTTTTGTTGATACAGAAGAGTGCAACACCTAAGGAACTGATCTTTTTAAAGTACAGTCATGTAGATTTTTCTTTCCATCCAATCGGGCATGAGAAATACCCTCAAAAAGGTGTTTGGGTAGCTACCTTGGTCCATTAGCGAGGAAGGGTGTGAGGCCGGCTCTTGGGGGGGTGCGGGGGGGGGAAGTGGGGGATGAGGATGGCTGAGGGGGCCTGCCTAGTGCCATTTCGCAATGCCGCGCCTGAGAAGGAGACAACAAGAAGAGCTCGCTGTCGCAGTGATGGCCATCGCGGTAGGATGGCCGAGGATGCATTTCAAAGCTTGGATGTGCTGCTGGGTTCCCGGACAAGGAGACCGCTGCTGTTAGGGCCTGAGTCCGATCACACCCTGTTCGTTGGAGGAGAAGACGATGAGGAGCACGGGTGGTGAGGGAGTAGTCTACTTTGGCTGTGGCCAACTATTGTTGAAATCTACAATCGTTTACCAAGGTGTTCGCCTAGGTGGCGGGTCATGCGGCGGACAGCTGGATTGTGGAATGATCTTCAAATCACCGATGACGCCGAGAATGATCATTACATAGGGCTACTGCGCATGCGTCGCTCAACATTCAATAAACTGCTGCGAAAGGTTGGTCCACTTCTCGAGAAGGAGGTGACAAGATTCAGGTTACCATAGGCTCCAGCAAAGAAACTGGCGTACGCTCTCCATAGATGGGCCCACAGTGACTGTCACTGGCACAGTTACTCGGGTTATGGGATGGGCAATACGAGCAGGTTGCGAGCCATCAAAGAGGTGGCGGAGGCCACTGATGCAACGTATCCGAATGTTGCTGGCTTGGGGGGGTTCGAAGAGCGTCATCGTCAAATGCAGCAGTTTGAAAAACACGTCATTGTACAGGCGAGCCCTGAAGGGCTCACTATTCGTCGACGATCGAGAAGACCCATTCGTGGCCGAACGGCCTTCCATCCCCGGTGTGCCCGGCGGGTACTTGCTCGGCGATGGCGGGTATCCTAATCTTCCTTGGCTTGTCATTCCATACGGTCATCAACCACGACTCACGCGGGCGATGCAGCAGTTCGACACTCTTCACAAGATAGTGAGGTTTTGCATTGAGCGATTCTTCGGGTGTTCAAGATGCGCTTCCAATTCTTTTACCGTCCACATATTACCGACATTACGAGGGAGAGGTTGGAGTTCCGTGCCTGTTGTATCCTCCGTAACCTGCTTCAGGATTGGGGTGATATGCCCGAAGCGGACGGCGAAGTGAGCGATGCCTTGTCTCCGAACTGTCCACTTCCAGATGTTGACAGACGTGTGGACTGTTGTCCACTTCCGTCCATGTTCGGTCGGGAACGCGGCCAGGCCGTGAGAAACGCACTGTGCACCGGTCCTCCGTTTGTGGGAAGTCCGGCGGGAAGCTTGACAAAAAATTGTGGCTCCATGTTCTCATCCAGGTCTGTTTGCTGCTATATTTGACCGTTAGGCGAAAACATTGTTGGTTGTAACAAGCGAGTGGTAGGTTGCATAGGTGGACCGTTTGTCCGTGCCTAGCGTCTTGTGACGTATCCGCGCATGTTCAGTGGCAGCTATGGCGGCCGGCAATCATCGCAGGGACTTTGTGTACAAAAAACGTGCATTGATAGACTACATGGAAAACATGGGGAAGGAGGTGGAACGGCTACACCGTTTTTTGGTGGAAAGGGGAGATAGCATCATCGTGCCATTGTGGAGCGGGAGGACGGTTTCTGAAAGCGACATCTCCTTCGAGAACATCCATGCCCGGAGATGGGCGTCTTCTGTCCTTAAAAGGCTGCATGACTCTCATGACACTTTGCGACAGTGTTGTGAAGACCTCGTCATCAACAACATGCAGATACGGCGACACAGATAGATCGATGGAGACAGATGGCGGATGATATGTGAGTGAGATTTGAACGTGTGTTGCGTGAGGTGATGCAAGAAAGAGTCGATGCGATGAAAAGGTTAGAGGCTGCTGAAGCAGATCTCTAGGAGGCACGCGATCAGGCAGAAACAGCGTGGAGGTTCTACGACAAAGTGCTGAACGGGGGGTTGGATGGAAGGCGGAGGATAACGAGCTGAGTACTAAGTTTGAATCTATGTTAGTCTCAGATAATGGCAAAGAGAGGGAGGCTTCTACTTCGGAGCCGTCGTCATGTGTATCCTGCAATGAAATTCGTGCAACTTTGCGAAGAATGCGATCGGGATGTGTTGCATTTTTCTAGAAATGACGAATGAGATCCTTCAGTACCCGCCTTCGTTTTGGGAAGAATGCGATCGGGATGTGTTGCATTTTTCTAAGATTTCAAGTCTGGGTCATCATCTGTCTAAGTGCAACTGATGGTGGAGAGAGAGAGAGAGAGAGAGAGAGAGAGGGAGAGAGAGAGAGAGGAAGAGAGAGAGAGAGGGAGAGAGAGAGAGAGAGAGAGAGAGAGAGAGAGAGAGAGAGAGAGAGAGAGAGTCCTACCATGCAGGTAATGCTATGTGTGCGATGTCGTTGAAAATGGAGAATGTTCAACAGCCAACTCGGCGAATGACTCAAAATTCTAACCTTTTTCCCCTGCCATATATATGTTGTTTTCTTCTTCTTCTTCTTCTTCTTCTTCTTCTTCAGTCGAAGGTTCTTCTTTGTTGACCCTTGTGTGTGGCTGTGAGAGAGAGAGAGAGAGAGAGAGAGAGATGCCTTTGTATGGACATGCAATACAGACAAGTGGCGCTTCTTCTTCCCCCTGCTTGAGCAGTCCCTCCGTTGTTAACGGATGTCGTACATGCATTGGGTGAAATTGTTTCACTTTCATATGTAATCCGTGTTTGATCGGGAACCAACAAAAAAAAGGAAAAAAATGACGACCTACACAAGTGGCGCTTTCCTTTTTTTTTTTTTTTTTTTTTTTTTTTTTTTTTTAGGTGACGCTCTCCTGTTTTTTTTATAATTTTTTTTTCGTACTCAAGGTTAGTTGCGAGTTGTTGTATGTTTTTTTTTTTATTCGTTATGTTTTTTTTTGTAACACAAGCTCCACAAGTGGCGCTTTCTTAGGTAATCCGTCTTCGATAAGTTTCTTATGTAACCTGTTTTCGATCGGGAACCCGCAAATAATAATACAAAAATAAAATGTCGTGCATACGTGTATTGGGTGTGATGCTCACTTTCTTATGTAACCCGTTATCTATTGGGAACCCGGAAAAAAAAACATATAATTAGTGTTCGCGAGCGCATGTGTCTTCGTTTTTGGAGTTCTTACGCAATCTTCTTTTCCCCCTTTGAGCCCCTCCCCACTCATCTCTCGCCCCTCTCTCCCCACCTATTTTGTTCTACCTTTGCAGCAACCGGACTGCCTCCTTCCAACTGCGCAATCAATGGTCGCTATCTAAAGGATCCTACGTGACATGGGTCCTTGTCACGTGTCACTTCACAGCACATCTTTGCGACAGTCAGGTATGATCATGTTAGCGTCGTCGTGTGAGCACGCATAGCAGCTGTCACAGCTTGTACATCGGATTTACGTGCATTGCTCGCAGCTCTTTTGCGTTTACCTAGCGTCGGCTCAAAACCTGCTGACCATGAGCCACCGGGTGAACCGCCAGACCCGGCCGCCGGATCTTCACCCCACCATCCATCTCCCCATCAGTGTCATTCACCCCCTCTCCATCTTCAAGACGCTCCTCGTCCGCCCCTGAATCCATCAAATTGGACAAGTTAATAGAGTCCTTGTCCTTCTCTACTGGGTGTGTGATGTCGTACCAACTTCCACGAAACACAAAGTCGACGTTGTACTTCTTCCGCCTTGTCTGATTCATGTGCCAATAGCTCGGCAAACTGGACCAGCTCTCGTGCACCTTCAATCTTCTATAGTAGTCGAGGATCTGGTTGAACTTGTTCTTGCACTGCTCGTTTGTACCCTTGTAACCCTTCGCACACATTTGCTCTTCCACATACTTCCAAAAACCAGCTCTCAGCCTCGCGCTGCCGTACACTTCAGTCTCTTCCCCCATCAACGCCTTCACCTCATTTTTATATTGGCACAACCACTCAATTTTGGTCTCCCCCCACCGATCCGTATTCTTCTCCCCGAATCGGGGAGGTGTGTGATGCGACCCGGACTCCCTGGTGAGTGGGGGCGGAGTGCCCGCACGCCGGAAGATCCACACCGAGGAGGGGCGTGAGAAAGGGTTGTCTGCGAGGCAACAGCCTAACTTCCAACAAGCCCAGAATTCACATACTCCGTCGTGAGGGCACCAGCCTCTATGTCCCCGGATGATGCAATTAAGGACGTACTCGGATGACGTGGCATGCGGACTGAGCTGCTGCCTATGACCACCATCACACAACGGTTCCGTTGACACGCGACGACTCTCGTGGCCAACCGGCAAGATTGCAGTGGGAGCACCTGACTGTTGGGACGACATCGCATCAGTGTTCAAAGAACTAACACTCGACGGACCAGTACTACCATTCTGGCTTCCTGCATTGCGAGCCGGACAAGTCTCATAGCCACCCACGGCCCGTTCGTCCATGGGTCGGGTCAGCCTGTCGGCCATAGCCATTGTATGATTGTACGCATTCTCAGACACTGCCGAAG